TATAGAGCAACAAGAAAATGCATCGCCTTGAAGCAAATCCTGAAAAAGGAATGTAAGTTAAGAGATGGAGATTGCAGCGAGTCAAATTAAGTAGTCAGCTTCAAACTATTGGTCGAGGGTAGTCAACCTGACGGCATTGATATTACTTATCACAAATTTCTCAGGAAGTCACCATTATGGATGCGAATATCGGTATCTAAGTCTATTTCACATTCACTCGAGTGTTGCAGCGAGGTTTGGAGGCTCAATCTCAGTTTACTTTTGTATAAAGATTTAGTGTTTGAAGTGGGCAATTACGCCAGCTTTACAATGGCTTTTACAACCCAAGTCGGAGTGGCTGTTCATGATTAGTTTGGTCTGAAATAATGGAGGGTCTGATGATGCGACTTAGTGAGAGGGGCATGGGGTAGAAATGTGTAAGTGCTGTGGTTGTGTTCTATACTAGAACTTAAAAAGAGACTAGTTCCTAGCTTGGTCAGAGGATGGCGAAATTCACTGATGATGCCGACTACTATGCCGGCGAAACGTTTCAGAATGTACCAAGTCCACTGTATGATGCTGGGAATTATGTCAACTACTATGGCAGACGACTTCGAACTTGGTGCGTTCTACTAAATCTCCCTGACAAGACCAAGTTGCTACAACGAGGTCAACCCACTTTCATATTTCTTTTTGATTCCTATTATCTATTAAGAATAGTTACATTTCATTTACGCATTCTAAACTGAGAGCTTTATGCTAAAATTATTTCTTTTTTTTGTTAATACTCCTAACAATATTTATAATTGCCAGTTATTCTTCCATTATCTTATAGATACCAAAGGAGTCTATCATTTTTGAATCAGACCTCGCTGTCGATATATCTGAAATTCAGACAAAAAATTGCTTTTTATCAACTGGCATTGCGACTCTTTCACCAGATAATGTCGGAGCATCACCGCAGACTATTGGCTTATCCGACTCTCTCGGACTTGCTGAGTTAACTGGCCTCTCCGGTTCCCATCATCCTCCAACACTTGCTCTAACCACTTCAAGCCTATGTGAAGTCATGCCCTGCTTGGAGCCTTTACCTATATCTTCCCAACTATTTTCAGAGTGTACACAAGCAAACAAATTTTTCGAAACCTCGGAGTTAAATGATTCTATTGCGTGTGCATCCTACGAAAATAAATCCGCAGACACATCTTTCACGCCTATTGATTCTTTACAGATTGCTCCGTTGTATGCACCATCTAGTGTACCTTCGCATCTCCATGAAGAAGCAAGCGGGTTATGCAGGGGGGTGAAAATGAAGCATGTCTTCTCTGATCTATACGAAACCACGAAGGATAATTTTGCCTCAATTGCCTCGTCCATGTATTCAAGTATTACTAGTTTATCGCAAGAGCGCACAACAGCCTGTTTAGCTACTCGATTGTCAGGTTTGGTGTCCTCCAATTCAATTTTTTTAATATTTTTCGCATATATTTGGGCTTAGTCTTTTTGTACTGCAAAGTCTGATTATGAGTTCAAAAATATATAGAATGTTTTATCTCTGGCTAAAGTTTAAATTTGTTTTGTGTGTTTATCTTTTATTTTTTTCAAGTATTCTGCATTCCATCATTGTAGGGATATTACCTACGACGATCATTTGTCATTTTTTTCTTGTTTAGATTTTGCTTCACCAGACAATGGCCCCTCTGTTCAGATAGAGGATGATGAGACCTTAGAGGACGAGACTCTTTACGTTGATGATATGCTGGCTGATGTCGCAGACACTTCTTCAGGCCTTTCTGTGAATCAGCCTGCACTTCCTATATTCCCTTTACCAGAAGATAACACATCTATTGGAAACACCTTTAATAATATTCGTCCACAAATGTCAGGAAGCCAAGTAACTTTTGATGATAAGTCTCCGATAGCTTTAGCTTCGATTCTTGAATCTACATCCGTGAATCATCCTAAGGGTAATTATATATAATCCTAAATTATTTCCACGCGAAGTATTAAGATTTTTCCATTTTTTACGATTAAAATTTTTGTGGAAAGTTTCTAATCTAATTAACTATCTTTCATTAACTCTGACTACTGCGATCATGATTGCCTTCTAATTAATTTTATTCGCTTATTCTCTGTAAATATTAAGGTATAGAGTTTTTATATCTTCTTCGAAAATAAATCAGATGTGATTTGACCTCGTTTTGCCAGGGGGATCTAGTTGGACGCACCTTGTCTCATCCTCTGTTATACTAGTTATGCTAATTCACACAATCGAAACTTTGACGTGGTACATTCCTAAGCGTTTCACCGTCATCGAAGGCACCATCTTCGTTGAGCCTTGCCATTCTTAGCAGCAAGTTGCAATTCTGCAGAGGCAAAAGAAGTCAATCCCTTGACCAATTTTTTGCTTAATGGTTATTCTCATTCTGTCTCGATACGTCTATCTATCCCTTATCCTCGAAATTACAACTTAATTTCGATTAGAAGTTGTTTGACCTTGTTTTCGCAACTCGGTCACATTGGTAGGAAGACTTAAAGAAACGCACCTAG